AAAAAGATATAGACTTTCTCAGTATTTCTGAAAAGTGTTTCTATTTGCGTAAAGAATTTGAGAGAAATTTTCTAAAAAATTATAAAATTATTCAGAATTTCTGAATGGATAAAAATTCTGAAAAATTACATAAAAAATTCCGAGAAAGATTTTAAGAGTACGTAAATGTAAATTATATATAATTATATATGCATATTATTTTTATCCACAATTTATGACTGCAGCACATACTATAAAGCAATTTTATTTATAGACAACGTTGAAAAATAGCTTTTTCATTATGTATGTATGTATTAAATTTATTTCTGAGGCAATTATACATAGTTGCTTATTTTATTATAACATCGCAAACAAACTAAAAAGACATTTTTACTTTCATGTCAAATTGAGCAGTACGCAACAGGACTCTCGCCGCTACGAACTGTATTTGAATTGAAAATTCTTAAGGTAAGTACATACATATTATTACCATTGCTCGTTTTGTCTCTCGGGAGATGCTCGGAGTCGCTCCGAATGAACTCAGCGTACTTGAAATGTAGGATTCACACTATGTACGACGTCCGACATTCATCATAATAATGAATGTCAAGAGCCCTATTCCTGAACAAATATCGCATACGAAAATAGCAATTCCGTATACAATTGACCAATCACAATCGAGAAACTGTCATTTTCGTATGCGAAAATTATTTATATGTGCTCAAGAATAGGGCCCCAGATATCGTATGACGGATGTCGTACGTAGTGTAAATCCTATATTTCAAGTATGGTGGGTTCATTCGGAATTTCAGAGCAGCTCCCGAGAGACAAAACGAACAATACTATTATTTATAACAAAAATATTCTTACTAGAGAAATATTTCTTTAATTTTCGCTTTTTTTCAGAAAAAAGGTCCCCTAATACTACAAAAAACTGAAATTCTGTATTAGCTTTTTCTTTATATCCAAATTATGGATGTAGCTGTGTTAAAATCGTATCTATTTTCAACACTACTTCATCTGCAGTGTCGATAATAGGCCTGTTCTTTTTGGCTCAACTTTTGCATCAGTTCATTTTTCTTATTTTTCTCTCTAGGAGGAAAAAAGAGGAAGGAAGATGAACTGGTGCAAAAGTTCAGCCAAAAAGAACAGGCCTATTATTGACACTGCAGACGAAGGTCTAATGTGTTACGTAGGTCACATCCATTTTATAAGGACCTAGGAGTTCGACTAATATCACGAAAAAGGCCGGCATGGCCTCTCAGATTTCTCCCTGATACGATCCAACACTTTGTCTCTATTTATATATTTATACCGTGTACATATACATATAAAATAATTAGCTCAAATGATCGTTCAAAAGACAGGCTGTGCTCCAAAATTGTTTGCCAACGCTGGCACAGCGCTGTCAACACCCTTACCCTATCCTTTCCACTCTCCCTTGATTCTCTCTGATAAAAACATGTTAGTGTTTTTATCAGACAAGAGAACAACCCTCTCACTTCGGCTGCGGTCGATTTGGACGCTCACGCGCTTTAAGCGCCTATAATCATCATTCTGTCTTTATCGTTCATTAGATGTAAAATAAGAATATAAGTATATTATAGGATCGTATATGTGATAACACAAACTATAGAAATCAAAGCCTTAAAGTCTAGCTGGATCTTAATGCTTGTATGATTCTTATGTGAATTTATATACTAAAGCGTTAATAAAGGCGTTAATATTAAAGTGAGAAGAATTGTGAATAATTAATTTTTATTATGACAAAAGATAAAGCCAAATTCATTATATTATATATTGCAAACACACAAAAGCCTATTTTACAATGTACTTTTTGTTTTCTGTTTCCTGCTTTTTGCTATATTTTACATCTTATTTTTTTGCTTCTTATGATTATTCTACAATGTGTTTTTTGTTTCCTGTTTCTTGCTTTTTGCTATTTTTTACATCTTGTTTTTTTGTTTCTTATCCCGTGGTTTTTTGTTTTATGTCGACTGAGATAAAAGTTAACGAACTTCGGAAGAAACAGGAAACTCAGCAAGAAATACAATTGTCGATAAAACGGTTGTAAATAGGGAAAAAAATCAAGAGGCAAAAAGCAAGAAACGGGAAACAAAGAGCACATTGTAGAATCGGCTTTATCCGGTTTTTTATTTTATGTCGCCCGAGATAAAAGTTAACGAACTTCGGAAGAAACAGCTAGGGAACACGTAGCAAGAAATGCAATTGTCGATAAAACGGTTACAAAAGGGGAAAAAGCAAGAAACAAGAAACAGCTATAGTAGAATAGGCTACACAGATATAATTAAAAACACAAAAATAATGAAATTATACAATATATATTTTGTTAAATAACGTGACTATATCATCAGTAGATAGTTAATCGTTTAAAATATTTATATACTTTTACATTTAACTTTGTTAATTTCATGTAAAGCAGCTTTTAGTATGCACTGATCTAATATAGTGCAAGCGACCGAATTCGCTATAAGTAAAATAATTATGACATAAGGCCTAATTCAAATAATCAAGGTAACATGGCGGCATGCCATGATATCACGTTCTCATTGGCTGTTAGAAACGTATGCGACTTTTCATTATATGTGATGATGTATGAGTGTGTGTGAGGTGTGAGCTGCCGCTGACGTGAACTGTGAGCGTTTGGGATATATCAGGCACGTGTGCTATTAAATGTGAGGTTATGTGACATAGAGATGACCAGCTGTTGTTACTGTCGATGAAATAATTTTTTTTGTGAATATAAAAAAGGTAAGCTGCATAACATAAACAAGGGGATCGATTCTGTATCTTGAAACGAGGTCAAAATTACAAAAATGAGTGAATTTACTAGAATATTGATAATTTCATTGGTCAACACCTAGTAAATTTGCTCACTTTTGTAATTTTCACCTTGATTGAAGATACAGAATCGACCCCAAGATCTTATATGTGTGACTAGTGTTCTATCTACTATAGGGTAACTCCGGTATATATACGCCGCACCTATCAAAAACTTAATGTATTAAGTATTATTTACTATGTTTAAAATAAACGAACTATATCAGTAAAAACTTTGTACTGTCTACTATTATGAAAAAAATATTAGAAATCCGAAATATTTAGTTTCCGTATTAAAAAATAAACTTTTTGAAATCTTGCATTTTTGCTATATATAGATAATGGGTGGGATATATGACAAAAATGCAAGGGTTTCAACAAACTAAACAAAGAATACGAAGGCAAA